CCTCCATCCACACCTTGATTGACCTGGCTGTGTGGCATGGCGCATTGTCCTGCTGGAAAAACCAATCCTCAGAGTTGGGGAACAATGTCAGAGCAAAAGGAAGCAAGTTTTCTTCCAGGACAACCTTGTACGTGGCTTGATTCATGCGTCCTTCACAAAGACAAATCTGCCCGATTCCAGCCTTGCTGAAGTACCCCCAGATCATCACCGATCCTCCACCAAATTTCACAGTGGGTGCGAGACACTATGGCTTGTAGGCCTCTCCAGGTCTCCGTCTAACCATTAAACGACCAGGTGTTGGGCAAAGCTGAAAATTGGACTCATCAGAGAAGATGACCTTACTCCAGTCCTCTACGGTCCAATCCTTATGGTCTGTTGCAAACCTCAGCCTGGCTCTTCTTTGCTTGTCATTGATGAAGGGCTTTTTTCTAGCTTTGCATGACTTCAGCTCTGCCCCTAGGAGCCTGTTTTGAACCGTCCTCACCGTGCACTTCACCCCAGCTACCGTTTGCCATTCTTTTTGTAGGTCACTTGATGTCATCCTACGGTTGTTGAGTGACATTCGAATGAGTTGGCGGTCATCCCGGTCAGTAGAGAGTCGATTTCGCCCTCTGCCGGTCTGTAGCTTTGCTGTCCCCAATGTCTGCTGCTTGACCTTGTTCTTATGAACCGCCATCTTTGAAATTTTAAGGATGGAAGCAACCTGACGCTCACTGTATCCCTCTGCCAGTAAAGCCAGAATTGAACCCTTCTTTTCCTCACTCAAAACTTTCCTTTTCAACTCTTTTGGCATGGTCAATAGTTATTTTTTGATTAATATTACTTTTGAGGTACTATTAGCACTGTTTTTGCCATCCAGCTGGACCTATTACAAGAGGATAGTGATGACCAAAGCAGCTGGTTTTTTATACTTTTCCTCGTTAAATAAGATTTGGTTCAGGTGATCACCTAATCAGTACCTAATTCAGTAGAATGAGGTGTGCCTGTGTTGGAATTCAACAGACACTGGAATGGAAGTCATACATGTAGAGATGCTGATTTAAGAAAAATTTGCAGTGGTCTCTTAATTTTTTCCACAGCTGTATATATAAATAAATACATAAATAAATAAAGGGGGTTAGAGGTACAACATCCATTTCAATTAATATATTCAGTTTACATAAAAATGTACCCGTTGGCTGCCACTCAAAAGAAAAACAAAAGTATGAAATACATAGAATTTAAGTAATAATAAATTCTGTATAAAAAAATAAAAATAAAATAAAAAGTGGGCCTCCACCCCAAACCTCCCATCCCATTCACCCAACCAACATGTCTCCATCCAACCCAAGTATATTTGTCCAGGCCTCAATTGTTTGACTAGCACCAATAATTATTGCTGTCGATAATTCTAATGTTTTAACATCGAATAGTAACTGTATCCACTGGCAAATTGGGAGAGAGTGAAGAGATTGCCGTTGAAGTGCCAACATCAGTAATCGTCTCTGATTGATTAAGAGATTGAAGGAGCTATCATCATTAAGTAACATAATAGATGCAAAGCATTTAACTGCAGGGCACACCCACATCATATGAAGGAATGTGCCTACCTGATTTAGGGGACACAGTGAACAGTTGGGAGTTGGGGCTAATTTCATCATAAAATGTTTCCTTGGCGTTAAATACAGTCTGTGAACAAACGTAAAATGTATAAATTGATGGTTTGGATTACAGGATGCCAAGGTCATATATTTACATATTCTGTTCCAGTTAAAGGGTTGTTCAGATTCAATTAGATCTGTGGACCATACTTTCTTAATGGCTATCTCAGAATATGAGCTTTCCAAAAGTTCCTTTTATATTATAGAGATATATCCTTTCGGGAGCCCGGATAATGTATTTATAAATCCCATAATTGGATGGTTCGATAGTTGAGTTTCCCAAGGGATTCCGTAGGCTAGCATAGCTGACCTAAATTGTAAATATATACTGAACCAAAATATAAACGCAACATGCTTTTTTTGAGTTACTGTTCATATAAGGAAATAAGTAACCTGAAATAAATTCATGAAACATGAGACCAACACTTTACATGTTGCGTTTATATTTTTGTTCAGTGTAGTAAAATATAATCTGTGTATAATGAGATGAAGTGATCAGTAGATTTTAAAGAAATGTGTGTTATTTCCTTCGATTGACAAATTGCCTTGGGCAGGGGTTCCATGGATAATAAGAATAGCAAAGGAGGAATTGGATCGCCTTGTCTGCTGCTTCTATTGATTCTGAAAGGAGAGGAGCAGATATTGCCTGTTAAAATTATGGCTGAGGAATTGGCATATAGCAATTTAATAATATTCATGAAATTGGAGACAATTCCCATATGTTCTAAGACAGACCAGAGATATGACCATTATAGTCTATTAAAAGCTTTTTCTGCATCAAGTGATAAAGCAGCCCAAGGAGCTGTTGTTTCCATTTTCCATTACATTTTCCATTTTAGTCATTTAGCAGACGCTCTTATCCAGAGCGACTTACAGTTAGTGAGTGCATACATATTTATTTATTTTCATTAAGTATTTAAGATGTGTAATAATCGATGGAGGTTATCCAAGGATAAACGTTTTTTAACAAACCCGCTTTGGTCCGTGTGGACCAATTTGGGTAAGTAAGTCTCGAGACGGGATGACAACATTTTGGAAAACAGTTGAATATCTGTGTTTAGCAAAGATAGGGGGCGATAGTGAGAACACTGTGTGGCATCTTTAAACCTTTTTTTAATAAAAGGGAAATTAGTGCTGTATCACTCCCAAATGAACCTTTGTGAACAGCTGTCTTAATCATTTCGAGCAATAGTGGACCTAATTGATTGCAACATTTTAAATAGAGCTCAGAAGAAATACCATCCTATCCAGGTGATCTGCCTTTATTTGTGCTATCCAATTCCCTTTTGTGTTCATTTAGAGAGATGTGGGCTCCCAGGGAGGTGGCTTCCTCTGTTGAGAGAAGAGGAGTTCTTAATTATTTTAGAAAGGACTTAGTCTGGCTTGGTGTGGATTTACAATCAGAGGTGTACAATTATTTATAGAACCGGGAGAATCTTTGATTAATTTGGGTTCTGATAGTAATTCAGATTCAATAGTTGCTATATCAGCTAATTGATCATTACTGCAAAGCTTGTTGGCCAGTAAATGACTGGGACGATTACCATGGAAGTAATGGTTGAGTCTAACTCAATGGATGGCAAATTCTGCTCTCTGTATTATCAATAAATTAAGTTCTGTCTTGCCTTTGGAAAGAGTAATAGCTACCTGGTCTGAAAAGAGTGTTTGTTGAGAACGCTCAAATGCATATAACAACATTTCCAATTCTGATATCTTCTTGAATTGTGATTTGTTCAACACAGATGCAAATGCAGTTGCATTATTTTTTATAAAACATTTGGTGGCATTCCATAGAATCCGGGGTTCATCAACTGAATTTGTATTGATCATTATGAATGAATTTAGTTCAACTTCAAATTGATCCCAGAATGTAGGAGTTTGTAGTAATGAAATGTTGAAATGCCATCTTGTTGCTTAAGAGATTCTGAAATTTGAAGTTGGCAGTAGTAAGCATGGTGGTCAGTAGTTGTGGACTGTAGTTGGTCTCATCAGATTTGTCCCGCATGTCCAAAATGGCATTCATGTCTGGCCCGATAACCAGAAGGTATTCAGTTAATTCTAACAATATGCTGTTCAGAGAATCCCAAAACGTAGGATCACATTAATTTAAACGTACACATTAATAAAGTCATTTTCTTTACATTATGGATACATTTAAGGAAAGTGATTCTGCCTTCTTGGTCTTCGCCTTTACCCAAGATGGGGATTTTGAGTTTATGTATCATTATGATTACACCTTTAGTTCTGTTTGGGGCTGATGAAAAAGCAACCAGTTTGTACAAATGGTTCTCTATTCTATGTGAGTCCTTTTGGAGCAGGTGTGTTTCTTGGAGCATTGCTATATCAACATGGCTTCTTACTAGGATATTAAGACAGCTGGAACAGTTGATAGGACTATTAAGATCTTTCAAATTCCAAAAGAGAATAGCTAGCGTTGCCATTGTTTTTCAAAAAACTATTTATTATTAATGATGTATCTTTATCTTTAGTGTTAATAAGCCTATGGATGTGAAACAAAAAGCAGGACCTACAGGGGAACCAAGCCATTGGTCGTTCCCCACCCAGAACCCCCCCCCCCTCCTCCCTGGCCCCCCAGCCTTCCCACCCAAGTTCCCCCCGCCCTGCACTATCAGTACAGAGTTGCAGCATAATGGTGAGTGGCAGCTTTACATATGAAATCTCTTAAGCAGCATATTTTTTGAGGTATTGAGAAAGAAAAAGTAAAACATAAAATAAATAACCATTTAACCCTTCAGACATTTAACGTTAAGTTTGCAGACTTGTTGAGTTAGGGTGGGTAATGAAGAAAAAGAAAGAAAAGGAAAAAAGTAGGCTAAATATAACAGAAATGCAAGCCTAAACAGTCAAATAGGATGGCTGTAGCAGCAATAGCTCTTGATCCATTACCCTCATTATTATTAGGAATATGGTTTAAATGACCTTGAACATAAATCTACCCTCAATTTGTATTAAGCATTTATGTGCTCTATACTATGTAAAAAAAAAAGAAAAAGGAAGATGGTATGTACAAGAAATGCAGTCTATAATCTAGATCTTCACAATAATTAATCATGGCCTGTAGGGCAAGTCCTCCCTGGGTGATAAATTCAGTAGCAGAAACAGAGGGGGAAAGCCATCAACAAAAAAATACAAATAAAAGGATTTGAAGCACTCCTTTAAAAACTACAGGCTGAAATTATACAAAAGCTCTGGAACATCACTTTAAGGCAATTTCCATGTCTGAAAATTGTCAGGCAGATAAATACTAACTGAACTGCATCTAGTTATTTAACCAGAGTTTCACTGCATGCACCATTACACCCTATATAACATGTGTAACGTTTTGATTAAGCTTCCAACTCACTTATCAAAGCTGTCACTATTCTTGATGAAGTCATCTAGTTTCTCCTTGGCATATTCCACCACATTCGTATGGAGCTCCACTCCATGGTTCACACCAAATGGACCTGCAAAAAAACTATTAAAAGTTAATTTGCAGTGATTACACATCACTTATGACCGGTGAGGTGGGTCTGCGTTTGACTTCGAATGCTATTCATTTTTTTATTTAATTTATTTTTATTTAAGCATAGGTTAACTCATTAGGGCTAGCCCATCGAGTAATACCATCACCATATAATCAATCAATCAAGATTTAAATGAATATCTCAACACATCGTAGAGAGGAAAAGTATTTAATTAAACAAACAGGCATCGTTACCTATTATGAGTCCCACCATGGTGCTGAGATATCCAGTCCCACTGCCCAGGTTGAGGAAGGACAGTCCCTGCTGGAGCTTCAGAGCCTCCATCACCTCAGAGTAGATACAGGGGGCAGACAGGTGGATGTTGCCATGCTTCCACGCCAGGTCCTTGTAGGCATTGTCCCTGTAGTATAGGTAAGGAGATGGGACACCATTATGTTAGCTCCAGAAAAATGTTTTTACTAAAGATCAAACCGGATACAGTGAGGGGAAAAAAGTATTTGATCCCCTGCTGATTTTGTACGTTTGCCCACTGACAAAGAAATGATCAGTCTATAATTTTAATGGTAGGTTTATTTGAACAGTGAGAGACAGAATAACAACAAAAATATCCAGACAAAACGCATGTAAAAAAATTTATAAATTGATTTGCATTTTAATGAGGGAAATAAGTATTTGACCCCCTCTCAATCAGAAAGATTTCTGGCTCCCAGGAGTCTTTTATAGAGGTAACGAGCTGAGATTAGGAGCACACTCTTAAAGGGAGTGCTCCTAATCTCAGTTTGTTACCTGTATAAAAGACACCTGTCCACAGAAGCAATCAATCAATCAGATTCCAAACTCTCCACCATGGCCAAGACCAAAGAGCTCTCCAAGGATGTCAGGGACAAGATTGTAGACCTACACAAGGCTGGAATGGGCTACAAGACCATCACCAAGCAGCTTGGTGAGAAGGTGACAACAGTTGGTGCGATTATTCGCAAATGGAAGAAACACAAAATAACTGTCAATCTCACTTGGCTTGGGGCTCCATGCAAGATCTCACCTTGTGGAGTTGCAATGATCATGAGAACGGTGAGGAATCAGCCCAGAACTACACGGGAGGATCTTGTCAATGATCTCAAGGCAGCTGAGACCATAGCCACCAAGAAAACAATTGGTAACACACTACGCCATGAAGGACTGAAATCCTGCAGTGCCCGCAAGGTCCCCCTGCTCAAGAAAGCACATATACAGGCCCGTCTGAAGTTTGCCAATGAACATCTGAATGATTCAGAGGAGAACTGGGTGAAAGTGTTGTGGTCAGATGAGACCAAAATCGAGCTCTTTGCCATCAACTCAACTCGCCGTGTTTGGAGGAGGAGGAATGCTGCCTATGACCCCAAGAACACCATCCCCACCGTCAAACATGGAGGTGGAAACATTATGCTTTGGGGGTGTTTTTCTGCTAAGGGGACAGGACAACTTCACCGCATCAAAGGGACGATGGACGAGGCCATGTACCGTCAAATCTTGGGTGAGAACCTCCTTCCCTCAGCCAGGGCATTGAAAATGGGTCGTGGATGGGTATTCCAGCATGACAATGACCCAAAACACACGGCCAAGGCAACAAAGGAGTGGCTCAAGAAGAAGCACATTAAGGTCCTGGAGTGGCCTAGCAAGTCTCCAGACCTTAATCCCATAGAAAATCTGTGGAGGGAGCTGAAGGTTCGAGTTGCCAAACGTCAGCCTCGAAACCTTAATGACTTGGAGAAGATCTGCAAAGAGGAGTGGGACAAAATCCCTCCTGAGATGTGTGCAAACCTGGTGGCCAACTACAAGAAACGTCTGACCTCTGATTGCCAACAAGGGTTTTGCCACCAAGTACTAAGTCATGTTTTGCAGAGGGGTCAAATACTTATTTCCCTCATTAAAATGCAAATCAATTTATAAAATGTTTGACATGCGTTTTTCTGGATTTTTTGTTGTTGTTATTCTGTCTCTCACTGTTCAAATAAACCTACCATTAAAATTATAGACTGATCATTTCTTTGTCAGTGGGCAAACGTACAAAATCAGCAGGGGATCAAATACTTTTTTCCCTCACTGTATGTTGTACAGAGCATTATAGGTACCAAGGCTGGGGTCAATACCTTTTCAATTCAGTTGATTCAGGAATTAAACTGAAATTCAAATGTTTCCTAAATTCTGCCTTGCCTATGAGAAAAATTAGGAATTTCTGTTTACTTCCAGAATTGAAATGGAATTGACCCCAAACCTGATGTTGATAAAACCAGATAGGTTGTACAGAGCATTAAGGGTACTGTAGTCGCCGTGGCCGTGACCTGTTAACGTGGGGCCCTCTGTTCCCCTTCCCACAATCCCACTTTCTCGCACTGAGCAAAACACAACCTGGCATGCACCAGCACCACCAAACCTTGAAGATCCTATGCTGATTACCCATAAAAAGAAATGTCTGTTGTGCAACAACACTCACAAACTTTGACCATTGATGGTCTGGTCTGGTCGGGTGAGGTTGTGTCTTCTCTAGCGGGAGGTAAGCTTGGCTTCTTATATGGTGTCGAGTAAAGCTTAAACCATGTATTTAGATTGTAGGTAGTTTATCTCCGTAGTTATTGTAGGTTATTGTAGGTAATTATTGTATTCGGCTGAGCCCGGTGAAGCACGAGGCTAGCTAACCCACTACCTGTACCAATAAAGCTAGCTAGCTAGCGGGTAGCTACTGGTAACTATTAGCAACTGTGGATAGTTGTTTCCAATGTTATTTCACGCTTAAAAGTACCTGTAATTATGCCAGCTAGCTACCTACCATTCAGCTGTTTTTCTAACCTCATTATCTGAAGCATTAACGTTAGGTAGTTAGTAGCTACTGTACTCGAAATGTAGCTAGCTTGTTGCTACCTGGATAGCTAACTAAACAATAGCTGGAGCGACCTAGCTGTAATATTTGGAGACGCTTTCTCTCCGTTGGGACAGACGCGAACTGGCTGAATCGATTCAGTGGCTAGCTTTGCACTTCACTGGCTAACAGTAGCTACTAAGGGTAAGTTATAACCTACATTTATTTTTGTTTTGTTTTTACATACTGGTAACAAGAGTCGTTCAAGGGAATTCGGGACATGGGTGACTAGTTAACGTTAGCTTGGCTCTCTCTGTGTGTTTCGTGCCGTCGGAGGAGGGGTGGTTAGTTGGCAGAGAGCAATGGCTAGCTAGTATGCTAACTATTCTAGCTAACTAACTGGCTGAATAAGTTGACGACATACTCCCTCAAACTGTCAAAACTAACCCAAAACTTTACACAACGTTAGACACGGACACGAATGATCTGTTTGGCGTGTTAACACACTGGTTTGTTGTAACCGAGTATTGGTGCTAAACCGTGTTATTGGAGGCTGGCATGCTAGTTGGCTATGGCGTCATAGGATTCGGTGCCCTGGGCGGTTTTCACGGAAGAATACTGTACCAAATTAGCTAGCTGAATAGGAAGCTCTTTGCCACCTTCTCCTCCCTGCTGAATCCCCCTCCTCCTCCCCCTCCCTCATCCCTTTCTGTGGATGACTTCATCAACCATTTTGAAAAGAAGGTTGACGACATCCAATCCTCATTTATTAAGTCAAATGACACCGCTGGTCCTGAGACTGCTCTTCTGTGTCACGGAGGCTCTCCGCACTGCTAAAGCTAACTCTCTCTCCTCTGCTCTTATCCTTCTAGATCTATCCGCTGCCTTTGATACTGTGAACCATCAGATCCTCCTCTCCACCCTCTCCGAGTTGGGCATCTCCGGCGCTGCTCACTCTTGGATTGCGTCCTACCTGACAGGTCGCTCCTACCAGGTGGCGTGGCGAGAATCTGTCTCCACACCACGTGCTCTCACCACTGGTGTCCCCCAGGGCTCAGTTCTAGGCCCTCTCCTATTCTCTCTATACAGCAAGTCACGTGGCTCTGTCATATCCTCACATGGTCTCTCCTATCATTGCTATGCAGACGACACACAATTCATTTTCTCCTTTCCCCCTTCTGATAACCAGGTGGCAAATCGCATCTCTGCATCTCTGGCAGACATATCAGTGTGGATGTCAGATCACCACCACAAGCTGAACCTCGGCAAGACGGAGCTGCTCTTCCTCCCGGGGAAGGACTGCCCGCTCCTTGATCTCGCCATCACGGTTGACAACTCCATTGTGTCCTCCTCCCAGAGTGCAAAGAACCTTGGCGTGACCCTGGACAACACACTGTCGTTCTCCGCTAACATCAAAGCGGTGACCCGATCCTGCAGGTTCATGCTCTACAACATTCGCAGAGTACGACCCTACCTTACACAGAAAGCGGCACAGGTCCTAATCCAGGCACTTGTCATCTCCCGTCTGGATTACTGCAACTCGCTGTTGGCTGGGCTCCCTGCCTGTGCCATTAAACCCCTTCAACTTATCCAGAACGCTGCAGCCCGTCTGGTGTTCAAGCATCCCAAGTTCTCTCATGTCACCCCTGCTCCTCCGCACACTCCACTGGCTTCCAGTGGAGGCTCGCATCTACTACAAGACCATGGTGCTTGCCTACGGAGCTGTGAGGGGAACGGCACCTCCTTACCTTCAGGCTCTGATCAGACCCTACACCCAATCGAGGGCACTAGGTTCATCCACCTCTGGCCTGCTAGCTCCCCTACCTCTACGGAAGCACAGTTCCCGCTCAGCCCAGTCAAAGCATTTCGCTGCTCTGGCAACCCAATGGTAGAACAAGCTCCCCCACGACGCCAGGACAGCGGAGTCACTGACCACCTTCCGGAGACACTTGAAACCCTACCTCTTTAAGGAATACCTGGAATAGTATAAAGTAATCCTTCTTACCCCACCCCCCATAAAAAAAAGAAAAAAAAAGGTGGTTGTCCCACTGGCTATCATAAGTTGAATGCACCAATTTGTAAGTTGCTCTGGATAAGAGCGTCTGCTAAATTATGTAAATGTAAATGTAGTACCTGTAGCCATCCAGGTAGTAGTCCCCGCGATCTATGGCCCTGAAGGCCTGCTCCACGCGACCCGTACGGATGTACTGCGCCTCCTTCAGGTTGTCAATCAGATCATCGTTGTCCTCCCCGGCGCTCACTGCACCCCCCATGGCGAGAAAGAAACGGTAGAGCAAAAAGGGGTGCAATACTCTTCTTTCCACAAGTGGAGCACTGTGTTGTCTTCTTAGTGGGGCATGGAGCGATGAAGAGGACAGTGGGACACCTGAGGGATTGAGTGGTTGTGTTCTTCTTCCCTTAGGGCCACTTCACACCATTGTCATATCAAGATAGGCTAACTCCAGGGAATTGAGAGAGAGGGAGACAATGATAAAAGAGAGGTAAGATGATAAGTATAGCAGGGGGTGTCAGTCTGTGGAGAGACCATAACTACACAGCCCAGAGGGCAATACCCATGTTGTTACAGTGCAACGCAAGCATTACCCATGTAGCTACAGATAGTGCAAAGCAAGCAACTATGGAGAAAATATATATTGTGAATTACAGTGTAAGCACATGAAGCTAGTGGTAAAGGCTATAACCAAAATTGTTCTGAGTTTATTGATGTTAACTACAATGAGATCTTCATTAATAATAATGTAAAACTGATTAAGTATAGTAGCCTATATTTTGTATGAAGTGTGAAAAACACTGTGGGACGGGTAGCTACTTATCATTTCAGTTATTAAAAAACTTCAAAAGTGAAAAACCTAGCATGAACTCGAATGAGTATGGTCTGTGAGGAGATCATAAAGCCTGTCTACAGAGTATGAAAGATGCAGCAGAGGAAGACACATTGTGCATTCTCTATCTGCCTTCTCAGCATCTCCACCTAACACACTTGAGTCAGCTAATAAAGATCACATTCAGAGGTGACATTGTAGTAGCTAGTAGGGCTTGTGGAGAGGTCATTTTCCATTGGCTCTTCTTTCACACACTGGCAAAATAAATCATTGATTAATTCTCACCCATGTGCGATAGTACTCTACTGTGTTACAGGAGCAGCTTCTTGTCCTAGTTTTTTTCATCCCTCCCTGAAATGCATAGTCCTTTGAGTTTTCTGCAACCAAAAAAAAGGGCTGTCAAAATGGGTCAGGCAGTAAAAGGTACTCCACCAGCAGTAAAGCACTGAGTAGAGTACTGCACTGCACTGCAGCCATGCATGCTGCTGCTGCTGACAAGCCTATGACTTAAAGATACAGACAGAGAAGGGTGGGAGCAAATTTAGTTACCTAAAATAGGTACATGTGGTTTGAACTTGAACTGACATCCTGCAATAGATTCAGATAACCTAGTTAGCTAAATATACACACAGAGAAATTACATTTGCCTATTACACACCTATGTTTAGGGCCGCAGCTGTGGACCGTTCAAATAGGCTAGAAATATCTCATGTAAAACAAACACGCCTCTAACATGTAGAATAAAGAATCATGTCAGCTCTATTCAAGACCTTTTAATCTGCAACGCTCTATAACATTTGCCTACTGAACGTGACCCAGATTAAATGAGAAATCATGACTATTTCACATGGTTAACCAGCATGTGTGGCCTGAGTTGACCCACTGGGCTTAGGCCAAGAGAGAACATGCCGTGACATGTCATGACTTTCTAAGAACAAGGGAGACTGGCTGGTAACCGACTCAGTGACAGGGACAACCAACCTGCTTGGCCGGGTGACGAAACATGTAACCGATCCTGGGACAACAACCCAATAACATGCTCAGTGAAATCCTATCTATACACAAGACCATGCGCTATCGATCTGGACAGGGGCCAAGATGCAGGCTATATTATACTGTGTTACTCAATGTGCGTATGGAGGGTAAACAGTAAACAAATATTGATTCACAGTCATTTTGGGTCAGTAGAAAGAAAAATCTACTTTTATTTCCCCTGCACTATTTACAGAGTGATTTGTCAAAGAACAGTAGACTGCCCCGTAGCCTAATGTTTAGTTTGTTCAGTAAACTCTCCAAACTATATAATTTTGCAAAAAACAAATAGGCCTAGCTACATCTGGAGGAAAAACTCTGAGTTGTAGTCAGATACATTACAATGTAGCCTCTGTAGGCAGCTACTGTAGTCTGATGATACAGTGAGGGAGATTGAGTAATCTGAGCCGCGGTCCATCGGGCTATGGCCCGTGACGTGATCGGGCAAAAGCGGTGAGGGAGGAGGGCCTTCTCAAATCGAACCCTAATCTACGCTGCTCGTTTATGTTGTCCACTAGGCAGCATGGTGCATCGTCCCGAAAAATACATCTCTTTTCCATAAGATATATGTTTGAATTTTCTAACTAGTTTTCATTGGGAAGACAGATTAAGCGTTTTTTTTTTTTTTTAAAGCAATCACTTTTGCATGTGAAAACACAGAATCCTACTCAATACTCAATCTAGTTTAGGCTATATCACTATTGTTTAGAGCCGCCTTCGCTTTGAGCTTTGAACAGGGCACCTGGCTCACACCCGGAAGGCAGCTCGTTTCCAAATCGAATGCAAATCAACTTTCAGCCGGTGCAAAACACGCCTACACGGATGACATTAATCCACGATTGGCAGAATTATTTGAAGCCAATCAGCTGCTTTCTATAACAGTTACCACACAGGGTGGACGTTTTCTAACCAATCATCTTGCCCTTATATATCAGCACTGCGTCTGGTGGAAAACAAAACAAAAACAGGAAGCGGGCTAGCCTCTTTTCTGGTTAATTACATTTCAAATTGATAACAATAACTGGTTTTGAAAATATTGCATATAATTTAGCTCGCTAGTTAATTAGCTAACTAAGATACATCAGCTAGCTAAATTACCTCAAATTGGCTTAAACGGTGTTGTGTTGCGTTATTTTAATCATACAATGCATGAAAGATAAACACGACATTGCAGACAATTTAACGTGACCTAGCAAACGTAACTAGCTAGCTAGGCTTTTAGCCACAACGATAATATCAGGTTAGTATCTAGCAACTGTAGTGTTGTTATGCAAGCAAGGGGTGACAAAACAAATTTCACAAAATGTTTGCGCCATAGCTAATATCCATCAGCAGTACAACAGGTTAGAGAGCTAATGTGGACCAAATAGCATGATACAGCTTGAACGTTGCCAGCTAGCTTCAGGCTCCATTTAGCAGTCGATGATGGCCATGATCAACTAACATTAGCTAAACTAGCTAAGTATTAACGAAATAATGAGCTAAAAATATATTGCGATTCGTGGTGAAAGGGTTGGTTAAGTCGAGTTGACAGCTAGACATCGGTGTAAAAAGATGTCAATAGTCTGTAGAAATGAAGTTTTGAACACATGCAGGCCCTATCAGTCTGTGCGTCACCAATTCAAACAATGGTAGTTAGCGAGTAGCCACTTTATAACAGTCAAAATGTCGACATTGCACTTTTAGATGGGAAAATACTCACAGCGCCGAGTCAAATGGTTCAACGCAGTCCCAATGGCGGATGGACTTGAAGTGAAAAAACAAATCGGTTTGTTTGAGCTGTAGCACGCATCCCAGTGAACACGGTGGGTTCGGGCCTAATCCGTTTGGGACTCGGCATCGACTCGGATTCGGTTGGGGGGGGGGGGCGGGGGGGGGGGGGGGGGGGGGGGGGGGGGGGGGCGGGCGGGCTTCATACCCGCGGAGCTCTTCCCGAGTCCGGCAGAATCATACAGTGCATTCGGAAAGTATTCAGACCCCTTCCCTTTATCCACATTTTGTTACGTTACAGCATTATTCTAAAACGGCGTGAATAAATAAAGGTATGACTCCAAACACCCAGAAAAGGCTACTCTCCTTGAAGTTATCCTCACAAACAATCCTGATAGGTATCAGTCTGGTTTTTTCTGTAATGATCATAATGGCTACTCAGTGAAACGACCTGTCAGACGCTTGCTAAAAATACTTTAATGAGCAAGCCTTCCTTCATGACCTGTCCTCTGTAAATTGGTATAGAATCAGCTTGATCCCCTCTGTCGAAGACGCTTGGACCTTCTTTTTTGATATTTTCAGTGGTATTGTTAACAAACACGCCCCCATAAAGAAAATGAGAATTAAAAACAGGTTCAGCCCCTGGTTCGACCATGATCTGTCAGAGTTACTCCACCTCAAGAATGCCATTTGGCAAAAGGCTCGGCACACGCTTACTCAGGCTGACTGGCTCTCGTTCAGACAAATGAGAAATAAGTGGTTGAAGGCTTTCGGAAGGCTAAAGCTAGTTACTTTAAGGAGCAGTTCTCTCTCTGTGGGTCTAACCCCAAGAAGTTCTGGAAAACAGTTAAACACCTGGAGAATAAACCCTCCTCCTCACAGCTGCCCATGTCCCTTAATGTTGATGATGTGGTTGTTACTGACAAAGAGCACATGGCCGAGCTCTTTAATCACCACTTCATTAAGTCAGGATTCCTATTTGACTCAGCCATGCCTCCTTGCCCGTCCAACATTTCCTCATCTCCCAGTCCTTATAATGCGACTAGCCCCGATGCTCCTCCCTCTTTTTCCCCTGCCCCGCTACAAAGTTTCTCCCTGCAGGCGGTCACGGAGACCGAGGTGCTATAGGAGATCCTTAAACTTGACACCAAAAAACTATCTGGGTCAGATGGTTTAGACCCTTTCTTCTTTAAGGTTGCAGCCCCTATCATCGCCAAGCCTGTCTCTGACCTTTTTAACCTGTCTCTCCTCTCTGGGGAGGTTCCCATTTCTTGGAAGGCAGCCACGGTGCATCCTTTATTTAAAGAGGAGATCAAGCTGATCCTAACTGTTATAGGCCAATTTCTATTTTGCCCTGTTTATCACAAGTGTTGGAAAAACTTGTCAATATTCAGCTGACTGGCTTTCTTGATGTCTATTGTATTCTCTCTGGTATGCAATCTGGTTTCTGCTCAGACGTAATTTATAGATTGGCAGGTAAGGGTGCTCTCGAGCGGCTAGATGTTCTTTACCATTCGGCCATCAGATTTGCCACCAATGCTCTTTATAGGACACATCACTGCACTCTATACTCCTATGTAAACTGGTCATCTCTGTATACCTGTCCCAAGACCCACTGGTTGATGCTTATTTACAAAACCCTCTTAGGCCTCACTCCCCCCTATCTGAGATACCTACTGCAGCCCTCA